TTTTATCATTTAAAAATCATTGTGTAGGCCGGGGATTTAGCTCAGTGGTTCCGCCGCCTGCCTCAAAAGCACAAGGACCCAAGTTTGATCCCTGGTACCAAAACAAAAAAACCCCCAAAAAACAAACAAACAAAAAAAATAAAAATCATTGTGTGGCTCTTCTCTGTTCACGTGGATCCAAACCTCAAATTTCTGCAGCCACATATATGTGACTCCTTTCTGTCAAACAAACTCATGGTGATCCTCCTGCTTCAGCCTCTTGAGTGCTGGGATTTCAGGTGTGCCCTACCACACCTGCCCCTAAACACCATTTTTATTTTTATTTTTTTCAAATGAAAAAATGTACTTTATTCAGGTTAGTCGTTGTTTTCTAGAGGGAAAATCTGTGACTAGGTGGTAAACTATCTTCTCCATTAGATAACCCTTTTAGACCTTCTGATTCTGTCAAAGGTGAAAAAGGTCAGCATACTATGAATAAGAATGCAAATAATTCTTGTCTATAGACGTGTAAATGATTTCTACCAACTGAACTCCTTCCTGCAGCCCAGTTTTGCCTCCCCTTAGCACACTCACTTCAATATTTCTAAATCTGCTCGTGTGACTTTTCTTTGGTCCCCTCTAAAGTGATTTAACACCTCACTCCACTTCTTTATTAATAATTAAATAGAAACCTTAACATATTGTCTTTTTTTATATCTGTGCAGATTGATGACTTTATAAATGTGTTAGCTACCTTTCTCTCTCTCTCTCTCTCTCTCTCTCTCATTGCTGAGACAAGATACCCGACACCCAAAGTTGGAGGGGAAGGGGTTTATTTGGCTTACAGTTTGTGGAGGTTTCAGTGCATAATCGGCCAGCTCCAAGGCAGAGGTGACAAACAGGCCTCGGAGAGGAGAAACAACATGGAGCCAACAAGGTAGCAAAGGTAACGAGAGTTACCAGCATCTTTCTGCCCCTTTTATCTTATTTAGACTACCGGGATTAGGGAGGTGCCAAACTAATATCTCACATGTACTGGTTTAGTAATCACACGCCCTCAGCATCATGCATTCCATATTCAACTACCTCTGAAAAAGAAAAGCCCACCTCAGCATGAGGCTTTGGGGGACATCTAAACACAAACCATAACAATAAATTATCTTCTAACATGACAGAAAGTACCAGCAACTGTGATATTTCAAAATGTCACCAGGCAGGGTCTGGGATAGTCTCCCTATTGAAGAGATGGGGATCTCAACCTGCCCCAGGTAGGTTACTGCCTCTCTTTCTCTTCAGAAAAGCGTTTCAGGATATGTCCACGAGAGGCACCAAAAGATTTATTACCCAGAATCCAAGAACTACACAGTGAGAAAAGAGTATGGAGCTCAAGGGTGAGATACACTGTGGTCTGGGCTAGGGCGTGTTTTTTTGGTGGTGGGGTAGCCTCAGACAGATGACCTGGGACTCCGGTTTTTTGAGTTATTTATCAGTAATTTACCTAGAGTCTATTTCCTTAAGTGATGGAAAAACTATCAATGAGGTTAAAATGCAAACCATTCACACACGTTGGACTGGAGCTATGGTTGGTACTCAATAGTGCTGTTTCTCTGAGAGTGGAAGTCTTTGAAATTTAAGGATTTATAGTATCCAAAGAAAAACACAGGCTAAATTTATTTATTTATTTTTTTGGTACCGGAGATCAAACTCTGGACCTTTCACTTGCTAGGCAGGTGCCAGAACCACTGAGCTAAATCCCTGGCCCCTATGATTTATTGTATCCTTAAGACTCTTAGGAATTTAGGAGTGAGGAGCCTAGAAGGAAAAAAAAAAAAGAGCCCTAGGGGTGAAAACAGCATTGTAATCTTGGGTAACTTTGATAATGTCTTAAAGCTGCAGTTTGTCAAAATCACAATTTTTTTGGTTTTTTTCAGACAGGGTCTTCTATGTAGTTCAGGCTGACCTTGCACTCACTGTGTAGTCCAGGCTGGCAATCCTGCCTCAACCTCCCAAGTGCTGAGATTACAGGGGTGCACCACCACACTCAGCCAAAATTACAATTTTAAAATGAAAATGTCCTTGTCTCATTTCTACCTATCTTTATTTCTTCTATCCTACCTCAAAAACAAACACAAAAGGTATTTATTTAAATTTACTAAAATGGTTAGAAGGTTTTAGGTATCTAGCAATTCTGGCCAATGGTTAATAGCTTCTCTACATTTTATTTTCCTGGTATTGGGGATCGATCTCAGGACCTTGTGCTTGTGAGCCAGGCACAGTGCCACTGAGCTAAATCCCTGGCCCCTCTACATTTTATTTTCAGTGTTTATTTGGCAAATCAATTTTCTTTTACTCATATTACTATTTTTGAAACCTGGTACCAGTGCAGTTTGTGGTCTTTTTCCAAAACAACCTACATGCTAATTTTTAGGTTAAATTTCTACTTTAAAAGATTTTTTTTTTTAAATTTTACTCAGGACCTTGCACTTGTGAGGCAGGCATGGTGCCACTGAGCTAAATCCCCCCATTTGAAGAAATTTAGTAGACATTAAACTATACAAAGATACAAAAATAACATAAAACAACCACTACCTATTATCTAGAGAACTAGCCTTTTAGCTGTTAATATTTTGTAAAATTTTTAGGTCTTTTTTCCACATAAAACATTACAGGTGAAATTTTCCTTCCATGTAATCCCATCACCCATATTCTGCAAGGTAACCAGTATCCTAAATTAGCATCGTTCCAGTTGATTCATCATTCATTTACAAAAGATCTATATCTACTCTCTTTTTTGTTTTTTGGTACCAGGGATCGAACTCGGGACCTTGCGTGGCAGGCGCTGGAACCACTGAGCTAAATCTCCAGCCCTTTATACATTCCCATGCCAATGAACTTTTAGGCTGTTTCCAGGTTTTTTAAAACTATTATAACAATGCTACAATAAACATCTTAACATTGCTCTCTTTGTATACAAATGCCAAGGGTATTTTCTACAAGTGAAACCACAGTGTCTTGAAACATTTTGTTAGTGGCTATACTATCCTAAGATTCACTTGTATTCCTTATTTCCTTCATACCTATCATCTCTTGACAGAATCAAACTTTACAGTTCCTAATCTGATAGTTAAAAAGTGGTTTATGTGGTTCTAATCATGGTTTTAATGTGCACTTCCCGGATGACATGAAAATCTGAGGTATATGTGTATTTAATCATTCACATTTCAATACCCTCAATACATATGAGAACTTCCCCTTAATCAACTGGGATTCAAATTATGCTCTGTTAAGCAACTTCTGTAGTTAACAAAAAATACTGGGCATTTCTTCAAAAGATAGTTATATGCAAGAAAACTCAAGACAGAGGTTCACTTCAGTATATAGCCATGCACTGTATAATGATGTTTTGGTCAACAATGGACCACACATATATCAGCTGTCTAATAAGATTATAATGGACCCGAAAATGCCTATTGTCAGTGACATTGTGCCCATTATAATGTAATACCTAACATCATGCTTAGACTGGGGCTGCAGCTCAGTGGTAGAGCACTCACCTATAGTGTACAGGTGATGGGTTCTTCAGCACTGCGGCAATCACCGTGGCAGCGATGGTAAACACCATTTTTAATAACAACAACAATAAATTCCTTATATATTAACATGAGAACAATGAGTTTACATTCGATGAAGGTTCTGGAAAGTTCCACTGCACACTCCTGAAAGAGTAAGAATGAAGAGCTGGGTGTGATGGATGGTGCATGGCCCAGCTGTGTGGGTCTCGTCTGTCTTTGTTCTGGGTTTCCAGCATGGAGCGTCTCGACCTCTTAGGAGTTGACTGCCTCCCTTTGAAATCTTTGTTCCAGCTACAGCACACGCTGGAGCTCTGCTGGAACTGTTTTTATCAATGGTAACAATTTGGTAAGGTGATAATTGTGCAGCCCTCAGCAGCCTTCTACATGGTTTTCTGTGGTCTATTTCATTCAAATTTCCTAACCCCCCCAAGAAGGGGGTGGGTAAGTATTAATATTCATACTACATAATTCTAGAGTCATACGCCTGTACTATCATGACATGACATGGCTAAGTCAAATGAATAGCTATATAGTTAAACGGCTATTTTAGCAGCACATATTTATTTATCTATTTATTTATTTTTGCCCCACCAGGGATTGAACCCCCGGGCTTTTGCGCTGAGCTCCATCCTCAGCCTCTTTTTATTTTATTTTATTTTTTTGGTACCGGGGATGAACTCGGGTCCTTGTGCTTGTGAGGCAGGCAGCAGAACCACTGAACTAAATCCCCGGGCCCCCTTTTTATTTTTAATATTTTGGTCCTGGGGATCGAACTTGGGACCTTGCGCTTGCGAGGCAGGCGGCGGAACCACTGAGCTAAATCCCCGGCTCCTCCCCTTTTTATTTTTAAATTTTGAGACAGGAGCTAACTAAGTTGCCGAGGGTGGGCTTGAACTTGCGATCCTCCTGCCTTATCCTCCTAGAGTGCTGGGATCACAGGTGTGCAACACCACAGGAGTTGCCACATCTTTTGCATCTGTCTGGCCACGGAGGCAGAAAGGTAAGGGAAGAAGAATTTGGCAGGATCTTGGGGCAGAGTGGGAAGCAGAAAGTAGAAACACAGTTAAGAATAGGTCAGGCCAGGTGGGGTTTAGCGCTGATGGCTCTTAGGGCCGGGGACAAGGAGGGACAAACCAGTGTACAGATCCCAGTAGGTCGAAGGTTTATTTGGGGCCGGTGATGTAGCTTAGGGGCGCTGCGCCTGCCTGGCAAGCGTAAGATCCTGAGTTCAATCCCCGGTTCCGGAAAAAAAACCACCCCAGAATCGGGTAGGTCGAGACAGAGAGAGTAGTCTGGACAGGCTCTGAGGCTCAGCGGAGGCAACCCTGGGGGCAGGGGCGGGGCCTATCTCTGAAGGGCGTGGCGTTCTCAGGTTGCAGATGGGCGTGACCAACAAGCTCGCAGCCAATTAGAGGGCGGGCATGGCCAACGTGGGTGGGGCGCCGGCGTCCGGGTCGCTCGGGCCGCGCACGCGCTTCAGGGTGTACCCGCGCAGAGGGCGCCGGCTTGGAGCCGTCCGCCGTGTAGCCAGCCGCCCGCCCAGCCGCCACCATGAAGGCCGTAGTGCAGCGCGTCACCCGCGCCAGCGTCACAGGTCAGGCTCCGCGTCTACACGCTCTCCAGGTAGCGGCCCGGCCAGGCCCTGAGCACGTGCTGGCCGCTGCGTGTCTGCCTCCTCCTCGGTGCCGATTCGACCACGCGGGTGGCCGAGCCCGCGCGCCCCGCCATCCACCACCCGCCACCCGCCCGTCGCGCTCCGTGAGACCAACGCGGCGCCGATCGTTTCCGGGGCGGTCTCCTCCGCCCCCTCTGCATCTGTCTAAGTTCACGGAGCCCGGTTCCCTATGCATAAAACGCATAGATTCGAGCCTGGCTAGCTGTGTCCACGCAGGGGACCCCCCCCCCCGGGACCCTGCAGCCAGGGAACCCCCCCAAAGCAAGCAGAGGGGACATCTCTGTCCCACCCAACCCTGGTCACCCCTTGAACACCCTGGTCTAGTTGCCACTTTCATCAGAGGCCAGAGCCGTACTGTAGCTAATGTGGTTATTCTAGACACCCAGACCCAGGCCTGATAGGTACTGAATGAAACGTTTAAATGACAAGTGTTACATTGTCTTTTAGTCTTTTTCTTTTTTTTTTTTGTACCGGGGATTGAACTCAGGTCTTTGCGCTTGCGTAGCAGGCGGCGAAACCACTGAGCGATTTAAATCCCCGGCCCCCTTTTTCATTTTTTATTGGCAGAATTAACATTGTTTCAAGCCCGGTGTTCTGAATTCAAGCTATTCTAGTGACTGAGGCGAAAAGATTGCTCTGAAATCCAAGAGTTCAAGGCCAGCCTGAGCAACAGAGACCCTTCCTCACAATAAACAGTATATACATGTGTATATATGTGTATATAAATATTTAGAAAACAAAACTCCCTAATGAACCAACTAAAACCATATATTTAGATCTATTTTTCAACCCTGCTTAATGGTTTGTAAGCTGTTCAGGTAACTGGTTTTGGAAATAGTCTTCAGTAAATATTTAAGTTTACAATAGCTGGTGTGGAGATTCTTGCAGTCTCTTTTATTTTTTTCTTTTTCTGGGTTTTGGTACCAGAGCCTTCATCTTTGAGCTACATCCCCTACCCTTTATTTATTTTTAATTTGGGAGACAAGGCCTCACTAAGTGGCCAGGTTGTCCAAGCTGGGCTAGTACTTTAGATCCTTCTGTCTCAGCCTCTCAGAGTGCTGGGATTAACAGGTGTTCAGTCTGCAGTCTGCTTTCCATGGTCATCACCAACGATTTAAGTTTCTGTCCCCTGAACTCTCCATCCAGTGATCTGGAGTATTGAAAACATGTTTTTATTCTGCTGAATAGAGTTTGAGTTCTTTTAATTGATTACTTAGATTGTATGCTTTTAGTTTAAACCAACCAACCTGTGTATTTAAAAAGATAATGTAGGTTGGGAACCATTGGAATTTCAATATTAGAGGGACACTTACGTTATCCAGGGTATCTAGTTGAATTGCAATGAAAGAGATTTTCTGGTTCTTAAAATAGGTGGCTGGATTCACTAAAATGTGACATCATTTGGGTGACATTTTATTTGAGAATCTAAAATAGCACTTCTTATTTTATGATAATGACAGAATACATAATCACACATTTTTATGTGGCATATTTACTTTGTAAACTTGGTCTGACACATTTAATGCTTTAGCATAATTACTGTTAATGTAATTTTTATTTTATTATTTGTGATGCTTGAAATTAAACCCAAGGCTTTGTGTATAGTGCTAGGGAAGTGCTCTACCAGGGAGCTACAGCCCCAGCCCTGTGCTAATCTAATTTAAAAAACTCTATTATAGAGTTTTTTCGAACAAACTCATTTGGCTACATGGAACAAATAACACAATAACTCCCGTGTACCATCACTAAGATTTAACAACAATAGGAAAAAGGCAACCAGGGGTGTTGGGACACACTGTAATCCCAGCACTCAGGAGGCTGAGGCAGGAGGATCACTGTGACTTTGAGGCCAGCCTGAGCTACATAGTGAGACCTTGTCTCAAAACAAAAAAACAAATGGCCTAATTACAGAGCTCATGGATTCTTGAAGAGGTTGTAGAGCTCATGCCACTCATTTATGGAGGAAATGACCAAATAGCTCTTTTCTAGCCTTGTGATCTTTTTGTTGAAAGTGTTTATTTTCAGTTATTTCCCTTGGAAAAGCATTTGTTTATAATAGAAGGCCCCTTTGATCCTAGGAATCCTTCCCCTTGTCCTTGGAGGAGCTACAAGACGAGTCCTCACTCTGGGTCGTGAATAGGCTTTGAGGCAGAATTTATTTCTTAGAAAGATAATAAATTACAAAAATGTTGACGCTCTTTGATGGTGACTCTTTTAAAGACTGTACTCCAAGATGATAATTCTAATTGTAGAAAAAGCTTTATGTTACAGAGATTTTCACCACACTTTGATTTATTGAAGGGAAGATTTTGAAACAAGCCATTTGTCCAGCGAAATGGGTGGCTCATCAGTCAGTGGTGAGGACGTGGCTGTTAAAGCTGTTCAGAGGAAGCTTGTGACATGGAGAAGTTCTTATGCAATAATAAGAGAAAAGATGAGATAGTTTTTATCTCATTATAAAAAATCTATTATTACAGTAGTTGAAAACAAATATGAAGCAAAATCTATGAATACAAAATATCAAAAGGAAATGATTGAAGTATTAAAGTGCTTGCCTTTTTTTCTCTGTTTCTTGTATTTTACAGATTTTCTGTAATGTATATGCATTGTGGGTCTATATGGATGTGGAGATGAACCTCTGTAACTTTTCATTTTTAAAACTTGGGGAAAAACTTAGTATGTTGATTGTGTAAGACAATAATGTTGAAAATAGTGTTGATTTAAAAAAACAAATAAGCCAGGGGAATTTTTTCTTTTCTTTTTTTTTTCAGTTTTTTGAGACTGGGGTCTCTCTGTGTAATTCAGGCTGACCTTGAAGTCACTCTGTAGCCCAGGCTGGCCCCAAACTTGTGGCAATCCTTCTGCCTCAGCCTCCTGAGTGCTGGGATTATAGTGTGTGCTGCTATGCCTGGCTGGCTTTTTTCTAAAGCACAGCAAACAAGTCAAGTAAAGCCAGTTACTTACTGCTTATTTCAGGAAAGATTATTTCTTTTTTTTTTTGGTACCGGGGATCGAACTTGGATCCTTGCGCTTGTGAGGCAGGTGCTGGAACCACTGAGCTAAATCCTCAGCCCCCAGGAAAGATTATTTCTTTTCTAGCTTTAGAGTTGTTGGCTCATACCACAGTAAGTCCAACATAGTCCATTATAAAAAGAGCAGCGCTGAAGAAAATACTAAAAATTTAGCATAACAATGAGGGAATCAAGCTTTGCTGAGATTTCAGGGACAGATTGATGCTGGTATTCCCCTGGGGTCAGACAGCTGAAGGAAGAGGGGCACATGTGGGTGTGTGGCCCTCTGAGGTGTATTTAGGTACATACATATTATCCAGCAGAACAAGCGTCAGGAAGATGGAAGACCCTTCTAGTCCTGCTTGGAATATTAGGTTAGAACATGGTGAAATAAAAAACAACAATAATCTAGTGACATTTGGCAAAATGTTGGCTGAAAAAGAGGAAATTATCAGGATCACCATTTGAAATATGGATTCAGATCCATTATCAGAATGGTGAATTTTATACTTTTTTCTTTGGTACACGGGGATCGAACTCCGGTCCTTGTGCTTGAGAAGCAGGCAGCGAAACCACTGAGCCAGATCCCTGGCCCTAGAATGGTGAATTTTGGCTAAGTGCTCTGTCCACATTTGTGAAATTGTCTGATGATAGGAAGGCGGACACTTGAGTCTAAACACACCCACAAATGCTCCTGTGTGCTCGGAGATGTTTTCTGGACAAGATGACAATTCCAAAAGGTTTGGCGCTCATCGGCTTGGAAGGTGACTACAGTACCAGCCTGGGAAAGGAGGGCAGTGTGCTGAGGAGAGGCCAACACAAAAATCAGGGTTTTTTTTGGTACCAGGGATCAAACTCGGGTCCTTGTGTTTTGTGCAGCAGGCGGTGAGACCACTGAGCTAAATCCCCGGCCCCTGCAAAAATCAGTTTTTAGGTAGAATGTATTTTTTGTTCTCAGTAGTAATTAGGAAGAACAGAATTGTTCTTATGATGCAACCCTTCTCCATGTTGTCACCAGATTTGCTGGTTTCCTAGAAAAGTTGGACCCTCGCCTCTGACAGCTAATCCAAATTCCCTCTGGGAGGAAAGTGCCATTATGCTTTTTACAAACCAGACCCCAGAAAATTTCAGGTGTTTCACCCCAGGTAACAGATGAAAATGTGGTCCTGCAGTCCTGCTCAGTGGTTGCTAACTTTGTAGCTCCCATTCATTCCAGGTATAAAATCAGAATGGAGCTGCATGTGGAGGTGCACACCTGTGATCCCAGCACTCTGAGAGGCTGAGGCAGGAGGATTGCAAGTTTGAGCCTAGCCTGGGCAATTTAGCAACTTTGCAAGACCCTATTTAAAAAAAAAAAAAAAAGGGCTGGGAGGTACAAAGGCCTTGGGTTCAATCCTCAGTACCACCAAAGGAAAAGAAAATTAGAACAGATCGGAATGTTTTGAATCTTACTGCTTGTATGCACTGCCATTCTTGTTTGCTTACAATTGACCTTAAACAGAGAAGTGTGAAGTGAAGTGTGTGCACTGTCAGACTCAGTCCCAAGTTGCTGCAGGGCACTTCTGAGTCAATCTTGTTTGGTTCCTTCCAGTTGGAGGTGAGCAGGTGAGCGCCATCGGCCGGGGCCTCTGTGTGCTGCTGGGTATCTCCCTGGAGGACTCACACAAGGAGCTGGAGCACATGTGAGGGGGGCCCTTGGCTCTGCGTGCGGATGCGGGTGGGGAGGCTGGGATGCGCGTCCCTGTTGCTTTGATCTGTTGCCGAACTCTCTGTAGAGTGTGATCTCCCTGTGTCTCAGATGACACCCAGAAAGGTGGCTGCGAAGTCAGCAGCCAGTGGAGCACAGCTTGGCCTCCATCTCTGTTGCTTCTGAACCTGCAGGCTCACTACCCCCACCTTTCCCCAGTACTGGGACTGAACCTAGGGAGTTTACATTGAGGTACCTCCCCACTTTTAAAATATACATTCCCTGGGCTGGGCTAGAACTTTGCATCCTCCTGCCTCAGCTTCCCAGAGTGCTGGGAGTACTGGCATGCACTACCATGCCTGCCCCCCTTTTCTCTTAATGCAAAAACCAAAGCCCCTGTATAGGGGTTCTTTTTGAAACTTGGGCAGTATGACCTGGGCACTGTGTACACATAGTTCACAGTGGGGCACTGTGTACCCCATTGTTCATTGTTCACACCAGGGAGGCAGCTCCTTGCCCCAGGCTATGCACACTAGAGGAGGCTTGAGCCCAAGGGGAGTTTGCTGCTGTAGCCTGGCTCACTCTCCTTGGGGGATCAGCCCTGCCTGAGTTCGCATGCATCCCTTGTGGTATGTTGGCTTCAGATGCTTGCCACTGTGTACCTAGCCCTTGGTGCCCAGAGCCTGTGATGACCCCACCCAGCTGTCCCTGTGTTGGTGGAGGGATGGGAGTGCCCAGAATTGACCCATCCTGAAGGGCACCAGCATGTCAGAGGGTTAGGATTCAGCTTCTGGGGAGATGCTTCATGGTCCTGAGTCTGACTCATGATTGTGACCTGCCCCACTTCCTTGCCAGGGTGTTGTCCCATGTCAACCACAGTAGGAGAAATGGCCCCATGTTTGGGCAAATCCTCCACCTGGAGGAGCAGGCAGCACAGGTTATCACTGCAAGCCCAGTGCCTTCCAGGAGCTGTGAATAGAGGCGCTACAGGAGCAGAGACCCCAGAGCAGCCTCCTGGGACAGGGCTGCGCCCCAGCGGTGGTACACATGAGTCCTGGCCAAGGTCATGCCTTCCGTGAGTGGTGGCTCCATTCCTTCCCTGGCAGCAAGCTGGGGACAGCTGGGATACATGGAGGGTGGGGCCCTTGTGCTGTTGCTCTCACTGCTCTCTGTTCCCCGACAGGGTCCGAAAGATCTTGAACCTGCGTGTGTTTGAGGACGAGAGCGGCAAGCCCTGGTCCAAGAGTGTGATGGACAAGCAGTACGAGGTGCTGTGTGTCAGCCAGTTCACCCTGCAGTGTGTCCTCAAGGGCAACAAGCCCGACTTCCACCTGGCCATGCCCACCGAGCAGGCCGAGAGCTTCTACAACAGCTTCCTGGAGCAGCTGCGGAAGACTTACCGGCCCGAGCTCATCAAAGGTGGGCTTTGGGGCTGGGGTCCTGGCAAGGCACCCCTGAGATCAACAAGCACCTGGGAGGGAGGTGGGGACATCCTGGCAGAGGGGCAGGGTCCACAGTCACAGCATCTCTGTGTCTGGAAAGTCCTTGTGGATGCTCATTCCCCCTCAGAGCACCATCACAGTGGCCGCTCCTGGACTTAACACACATCCTCGGGGTGCACTGGACACCATTGCCCTCCTTCCCACTGTCCCATTTGGAAATGAGGTACCCAGAGGTGTGTGGCGTCCAGTGTTTCCTTGGTTGCCTAGGCCAGCGCCATCCAGTAGGAGTAGAGTGCAGGCCCTAAATGTGAACCTAATATGTGCTTTAATTTCGAGTAGATGTGTTCCAAAAAGGAAGAGGAAGCAAAGGAAATTAATTTAGAAATGTATTTAGCTTGACTAAATATATACAGAATGTTATGATTTTTACCATGTGATCAGTATAAAGAGTTATGTTATAGTTGACATTATTACTATCTTTTTTTGGCATAAGAGTCACAGCAGAAGTGAGAGGAAGTACAGAGGTGTCACGTTTCACAGCTGATGAACCCATGTAATCACAGCCATCCATACTGTACCTGAGGTCATGTGCAGTGTGTGTATCCTGTGGGCTTGGATATAGTGACAGTGACACACATCTACCAGGACAGTGTCACAGAGTCCCTTCACCGTGCTCCCCTGTCCCCCAAACCCTGGCAAACACTAATCTTTTGACTTTCTCTGTGGTTTAGTTTTCCTAGACTGTCGTGTAGTTGAAAGTATGTGGCCTTTCATGTTGGCTTCTTTCAGTTTTTGTTTTGTTTTTTTAGTGTAGTACTGAGGATTGAACTCAGGGTCTCTGCACTGAGCTACATTTCTAGCCCTTTTGATTTCTAAGACTGGGTCTCATTAAGTTGCTGAGTTGCCCCGTTGGAGTCCAACTTGCTATCCTCCTGCCTCAGCCTCCCAGAGTGCTGGGATTACAGGTGTGCACCAGTTCTTTCACTTACTAACATGCACTTAAAGCTTCTTTATCACTTGATCGCTCCTTTCTTTATAGAACTGATAATATTCCACTGTCTTAGTTGTCCCACAGTGTGTCTATTCATTTACTGCAGGATGTCTTGATTGCTTTCAAGTTTAGGCAATCATGAATGAAGCTTCCATAAATATACACTTGCAGGATTTGTGTGCATGTAACTTTTCACTTCCTTGTGATTGCTAGATCAGATAGTATGGTTTTGTTTTGTTTCTTTTTTTTGGTACTGGGGATCAAACTTGGGACCTGGCGCTTTCAAGGCAGATGCTGGAACCACTGAGCTAAATGCTCGGCCCAGATAGTGTGTTTTGATGTATGAGAAAGTGCCTATTATACCACTTTACATTCTCACCAGCGGTGAATGAGAGTTCCTGATGTGCTTCCCACCCCCTCCAGCCTTTGGTCTTGGCATTGTTTGCAGTTTGGCCTTTTTAAAGATATTGAGGTAGGCCCGTCATGGTGGTGTATGTCTGTAATCCCAGTGCTCGGGAGGCTGAGGCAGGAGGATCGTTGCAAGTTTGAGGCCAGCATGGGCTACATATTGAATTCAAGGCCAGCCTGATCTACATAGCGAGAACTTGTCTCAGAAAAACAAAAACAAAAAGATGTCAAGTGGGATCTCTTTGGGTAGTTTTATTTACATTTCCCCACAATGAATGATGTGGAGCATCTTTTCATCTGCTTATTTGCTATTTGTATATCATTTTGGTGAGGTGTCTGATAAGGTTTTTTGGCCCATTGTTAAAAATTGTATTGTTTGTTTTCTTCTTGCTGAGGTCTTATAGATATATACCAGTCCTATTAGACAAATACTCACTTTGCAAAAGTTTGTTTATAATCAGATCCGTCTTTGGCCAATATTTCCCTCCAGACTGTGGTTTGTCTTTTCATTCTCTAAACAGTGTCATCTGCAGAGCAGAACATTGTAATTTTAGTGAAGACCAGCTCATCAGTTCTTTCTTTCATGAGCTATGCCTTTGGTGTTGTACCTAAGGAGTCATCACCATCTACAGCATCATCTGGTCTTCCCCTCTGTTACCTCCGAGCATTTTTATAGTTTTGCATTTTACTTTTAGATCTATGTGTAGTTGTTGTAAGAAGTGTAAGTTTTGTGTCTAGATGTAGTTTTTGCCTGTGGATGTCCAGTTGTTCCAGCACCATCTGTGGAGCCTCCTTTCTTCATCATATTGGCTTGGCTTCTTTGTCAAAGATCAATTGACTAAGTTTACTTTGGTGAATTTCCAGGCTTCCATTGATCTGTCATTCTTTGCTAATACCACCCTGTCTTAATTACTGTAGCTTTGTAGTCAGTATTGACACCACATAGTGTCAATCTCAGCTTTGTTTTGTTTTTGATAGATACTCTATCAAGTTCAGAAAGTGCACCTCTATTCCTAGTTTATTGTGAGGGTTTTTTTGAGACAGGATCTCATTATGTAGTTGAGGTTGGCCTTGAGCTTGCTATGCAGTCCAGGCTGGCCTCAAACTCACAGTGATCCACCTGCCTCTGCCTCCTGAGTGCTGGGATTTTAGGAGTGTGCCACCATGCCTGGGTGCTATGAGTTTTTATTGTGACTGGGTATTGGATTTTGTCAAATGCTTTTTCTGCATCTACTGATGTGATCATATGATTTTTCTGTCTTTAGCTTGTTGATGTGATCAGTGACATTAAGTGATTTTTAAAAAATGTTTTTACAATTTAATAAATCTCTTGATGACTGCAGTTATGAAAGTTGTAGTAGTATTCACAGTAATGGTGGTTTTCCTGATTGGTCTGTAGTCTTCAATAAGTGTAAGAAGTTATTGTATGAAACATCTGTCAAACCGGTAAGACTGCATTGATGGATCTATCATTCTCAGGACTGTTGGTTACCTGGGCATATTTACCCCAAATAACCTTGTCTTCTTGTGTCACAAGGCCCAAATCACTCACTTTCACTTCCATCTCTGTACCTTTGGTAATAACACCCAAAGTTGTATGTAGTGGTGATGAAGGATTTTTTTCACACCAAGTATTGGGAGGCAAAAGGTGGCTTTAGTTCAGGATGTGTTACATGGGCCTTCTTGAAATGTAAGCCCATTGGCCTAACGAACCTTTCATATTTAGGTGGTTTTCTTGTAAAGCCATCTCCAACAAAGCAGACTTTGGTAACCATCCTCTTCCATGCCTTCTTTTTTCTCTTCCCAGTTTGAATAACTTTTAATACTTCCGTCTCTGCCTGTGCACAAAGTTTGGGCAGAGGGACTTCCCATTTTCCCACCTTTTCTTTTCATTTTTGTTTAATCATGTTGGAAAGTACTTTTGCCCAAGACTGTCCAGCAGATAGGCAGGTACTGCTCCTTGAGGAGTCTTTTTGTCATTCTTTTGTTTGGTGTTTCTCTTTTCATGCATCTTGATAGTCTTAATTTGTATTTTCTTGGCATGGCGCTGTTTATGGTAGAGTTTAGCTTTCAGGCCAATCATTATTTTTGCCTTCTTTGAATGTTCATGAGCCTCTTGAGTTTCCTTCTTTTTCTCATGGTAATGCAAACATTACCCGTAACATTTACAGTGTAATTCAGTATATTCATTTTGTGGTATGATGACAGCTGCAGAGCCACCAGGGCCACCCACAGGCACTTGAAGAAAAGTGTCAACTTTGGGGTCTCTCAGGCACATGAGCTGACTCCTACATTAAGTGATTTTTGAATGTTGAACCAGTCTTGCTTGGTTGTGGTGTATAGTTCTTTTTATATGCTATTTGTCCAGTTTGTGTGTGTGTGGATATGTGTGTATATATTTATTATTATTTTTATTATGTGGTGATACTGAGGAATGAACCCAAGGCTTTTGCATTGAGTTACATACCGAGCCCTTTTTATTTTTATTTTGAAAGAAGGTCTTGCTTAGTTGCTGAGTTGCCCAAGTGGAGCTCAAATTTGTGATCCTCCTGGCTCAGCCTCCCAGAGTGCTAAGATTACAAGCATGTACCACCATGCCCAGCTTTGATTTGCTAATATTTTGTTGAAGATTTTTTCATCTATATTCATGAATGGTATTGGGCTATAGTTTTTTTTTTTTAAGTGTATGTGCTACTGGAGCAAGCACTATAGTTTTTTTTTAAATAATGCTGTTGTCTAATCTTGATATTAGGGTGATTCTGGCTTTATAGCATGAGTTAAGAATACTGTCTTAGCATCTATCTTTTGAAAAAGATGTTTGGTCAAATTTACCTGTGAGCCCATTTGTTTTTAGTGCTTTCTTTTTGAAATGTTAGTAACTTTTGATTAATTTTTTTTTTTGGGTGGTACCAGGAATTGAACTCAGGACCTTGCACTTCATAGGTAGGCACAGTGCCACTGAGCTACATCTTAGCCCCTTTTGATTAATTTTTTAATAGATAAAGGTCCTTTTATTATTTATTTATTTTGAGTTTTTGAGACAGGGTCTTGCTATGTATTTCAGGCTGGTCTTGAACTTACTATGTAGCCCAGGCTGGCCTTGAACTTGGGCGATCCTCTCCTGCCTCAGCCTCCCAAATGCTGGGATTATAGGTGTGCACCACCATGCCCAGTGTAAAGGTCCTTTTAGATGAGATCAGCATATTCAGGGTCCTACAGCCGTTAAGGGCCCTTTTAGATTGTCACTTTCTGTAAGAGTTTTGGCAGCTTATGTTGTCCTAAAAATTGGTTCATTTCATTAGGTTATCCAACTTGTGGGCTTAGACTTGTTCAAGATAATCCCTTATCCTTTTAATACCCTTGCATCTGTACTGATGTCTCATTTTGTTGTTCATGTTAGTAATTTGTGTCTTCTTTTTCTTAGCCTATCTAGTGGCTTATTGGTTTCATTTATATTCTTAAAGAACCAGCTATTGGTTTGATTTACTCTGTTGATTTCCTGCTTTCAGTTTCATCAATTTCTGTTCTAATTTTTAATATTTTTTTCTTCTACTTACTTTGGATTTAATCTGCTCTTT